GTACTGGTCAGAGTGTTTTGTCACAGCAATGAAGAACAAACTAAGACAATATGGAAGCACAAAAGACCCTGTATAGCCAAAGCAACCCTGAGAACAAAGAGCAATGCTGGGGGGATTACTATACCAGATCTCAAAGTATACTACAGAGCTACAGTCATAAAAGCAGCATGGTACTGGCACAAAAATAGACACATAGAGACACACAGATCAATGGAACATCACTGAAGACCCAAATCTGAGTACATACAATTTCAGTCACCTGATATTTGACAAAGGTGCCAAGAACACACAATGGAGGAAAAACATCATCTTCAGCAAATGATGCTGGCAAAATTGGAATGTGTAGAAGAATGAAACTAGATCCTTACCTTTCACCTTGTACAAAGGCCAACTCCAAATAGATCCAAGACCTCAATGTGAAACTGGAAACTCTGAAACTCTTAGAAAAAAATATTTGCAGTAACCTAGAAAATCTAGGCGTAGAAAAGGACTTTCTAAATCAGATATCAGTTGCTCAAGAATTAAGGTCAACAATAAGAGAAACCTCATTAAAATAAGCTTCTGTACAGCAAAAGAAACAATCAAGAAAGTGAAGAGAAAACCTGCAGAGTGAGAATAAATCTTCACCAGTGACACAGCAGTCAGAGGATTAACATCCAGAACATATAAAGAACCCAAAAAACAAAGCATCAAGAAAACAAATGACCCAATTAAAACAAGGACCAAAGATCTAAACAGAGTTGTCAAAGGAAGAAATAAAACTGGCTAAGAAACATCTTAAAAGTGTTCAACATCAGCCAGTCATGGTGGCGCACACCTTTAATCCCAGCACTTGGGAAGTGGAGGCTGGCGGAGCTCTGTGAATTTCAGGCCAGCTGAGGCTACAGGGAGACCCTGTCTCAAAAAGATGAAAAAAAAAAAAAAAAAAAGTGTTCAACACCGTTAGTAATTAGGGAAATGCAAATTATTACCACATTAAGATTTCATCTTACTCCAGTCAGACTGGCTAAGATCAAGAAAACAAATGATAACAAATGCTGACAAGGATGTGGACAAAGGGGAATGCTCATTCACTGCTGTTGGGATTGCAAACTCACGCATCCCCTATTGAAAGTAGTGTGGAGAACTCAAAAAACTAAAAATAGGGGCTGGAGAGATGGCTCAGTGGTGAAGAATAATGACTGTTCTTGCAGAAGACCCGGGTTTGAATCTCAGCATCCACATGGCAGCTAACAACTGTCCAAAACTCCAGTTCCAGGGGATCCAAAGGCATCTTCTGTCCTCCGAGGGCATTGCACAACGCAGGTGCGCTGACCTACATGCAGGCATAACATTCATACACATAAAATAAAAAATTAAAAAAATAAAAATGAACCTACTATATGACTTGATTATACCACTCCTTGACATATACCCAAAGAACTCATCCTATTGCAGAGACACTTGTACAACCATGTTTGTTGCTGCTCTTTTCACAATAGCTAATAGATGGAAGCAATCTAAGTGCCCCTCAACTGATGAATGGTTAACAAAAATGTGGTACATTTTCACAATGGAGTTCTACTCAGCAGTAAAGAAAGATCAAATAATGAAATATGCAGGTAAATGGATGGATCTAGGAACTGTTATACTAAGTGAAGTAACACAGACTCAGAAAAACAAAAGACATATGTTCTCCCTCATTTGTGGATCCTTAGCACCAGCTCCTTATAAGTGAGTGCATATCCTGATGTAACTGCAGGAACCTGGAAAGTGGAAGGGAACCAGGGACGTAAAGGGAAAGAAGGAACCTGAGAGAGAAGAACAGTAGGAGACAGGCGTTACTAAGGGAGAAATATGTAAAAAAGGAGTAGTTAAAGGGGATGGGGGGTGCTATATAAAGAACTATGGGAATAAAGAAGAAGAAGGAGCTCAAAGAGGTGGGACCACAGCATATAGGAATTATCAAGAGAGAAATGGGAAAAACGGGGACACTTGAAATGGGAAGGGCAGGGAGGGAGGATAAGACAGGGAGAGAGGAGATATAAATAGTGCCTAGCTAGTATAAAAAAAAAAAAAAAGAAACAGAAGAAATCGTATTAGTCCAAAAACCTACTCAAGAATTACATACAACATCCCTACATGATTCTGTGAGTATAGCTGAAGACTACTTAAAAAGGAACAGTGCTAGACAAAAGAAACCTTCCTTTGAGCTGTTGGCCAGGGTACACCAAGAGACTCTCAAAATTGTCGCCACAGCCCTTGACTGCCTCCAAGAACTCGATGGTGAAGACCCTATTGCTGAAGACAGGACATACTTCTGACACAGGATTTGGGGCAATGGAGCTGAAGTGAGCTGGAAGCCACCTCCCCTGAGGGCTAGCTCTCAGAGCTTTAGAGAGCACTACCACTATACAAGCTTCTAAGGGAAAACATCAATCAAATGGTACAACCTAGTTTAAATGCCTAAAAACCACATCAGTGACCACATCAAACATCACTGGTGCAGTAGTGGCACTTTTATCTTAGGGGTAATCAAAAGCTACCTAATTGGACTTAAAGACCACTAAATGGGAGGAAACTCATGTGTGGTATTGTAAACCTAGACAAATACAGAGAGCTGAAGAGGTCATAGATCTTAGAGAAAACCCCAAGGCTCTCGTATCCTAGGCAAATGTAATCTCTTACTATGTGCAGAATATGGATCCTTAACTTTACGGACAAGTATTCCAGTCACTACCCATCAAAGTAGCTTCTTTTTCAACATAGATTATTACAGAGTCACACAGATTCTCTATGAATTGCCTAAGTCTAAGTGGCACATGTAGCACACAACCTCTATACCTAAGACTCACAGAACACAGAACAAGGGAACGAAGAGAACACTAATTCATCTTTCAGTTCTCATCAATGAAGCTCCCTCATACAACAGAGGGCCAAGAGCACACACAAGGCCACAAATGGCCAAAACACAGAGAATAAGAGTCGGCAGAGTGTGGGTCCTTGGACAGAACTCCTATATTGAGGTCCACCCACTCAGGGCTCAGGGACCATTGCAGAAGGGGGGCAGAAAGGTTGTAAGAGCCAGAGAGGAGGTGCATGACCATACAGAAATGGTCCTACAGGCACCTGGGACCCTTCTCATACAAACCTACACCAATGGTGTCAGGGTGCATAAGACCCATGGAAACTTAGGCAGACAAAATTCCAGAACAGAACTGTTGAAATGAACATGAAGCCCCAATCTTAGTCAAAGAATTATTGGCAGCTGATTAGTGCTGGGTGAGAAAGAGCTGATCTTCTTGAAGGGAGAGACTTTAGATAGGCTATCTAATTCCCAGTGGATGAACTTGCACCAAAGGACATCTAGGGGACACTAACTTCACACACTAGGCCTTAATACAAATGACAGAATGTATGAACTCCAGTGGGGGGGAGGCAGTTGATGACCACACACACACACACACACACACAACTATGGGAGGGTGCCAAAGGGGAAGGGAAAGGAGGTATGAAGATGATTTTCTGTTTGAAATACACAAAAATTAAATTTAAAAAGAAATTTAAAAAGAAAAAGTTGATAAGTTGACCTTGAGGCAAAAACTTCTTTTGACCATTCTTCACTCAGTTGAAGCCCTCCTGAGAAGAACTCCAGAAAGATGGATGTGAAATGCCCTGGTGACTCACTACCAGGTCTACATCAACCTCACAAAAAGTTTTATAGGACTTCAGCCCTCAACCCAGCAAGCCTGTTGCTGGATAATGATCCAGAGCAGCTTCTACATGACTGTGTTGAAGTGACAGACCTGATTCAATCCACGAGGCAAGACTTTACTTGTGTCAGATGAGGTATTATGTACAGATGGGAACCGCTTCGTCTTAAATGGCCTCAGGTATGCTGGAGCTGTGGTTGTCACAAAAGGCCAGACTATCTGGGCCCAGTCCCTCAGCAGAGGAACGTGCTTCCGCCCAAGGAACGGAACTCATAGAGTTGACCCAAGCACTCCGATGGGGAAGTGATAAGGCTACCACTGTGTATACAGACAATCGGTATGCATTTGCCACTGCTCATGGACATGGAGCTCTGTACAGAGAAAAAGGACTCCTCACCTGGCTGGGAAGGAGATAAAAAACAAAGAGAAAATCTTAGCTCTACTAGAAGCCATATGGCCACTCAAAAGGGTGGCCATTGTGCACTGCAAAGGACATCAGAAGGGGGATTCCCCCGAGGCACAGGATAATTGGGTAGCTGACTTAGTGGCCCAGGAGGTGGCCCTAGAACTAATAGGGTCTCTCCAAATCTTGATTGTGATGCCAGAACCAAGTTTACCCCACAAACCCACCTATGAGTCAGAAGAAGAGACATGGGCACAACAGGAGGGCACAAAACAGGGAAGAGGGGGATGGTGGGTGTTACTAGCTGGAAGAGTCATCCTCCTGGCGGCTCTAGGAAGGCAACTGGTGACCCAGCTTCACCAATTCACTCACCAAGGGGTTAGAAGAACTGTTGAACTCCTGCAGCCTAAGGTATTACATCCCACACCTAGACCACGTCACAAGGGATGTTGTATCCAAGTGTTCTACCTGTGCCCAAGTGAATCCTAAAGGAGGGAAGAAAGCCCCAGAAGGAATCTGCACTCTCAGTGACACACGGCACATGGGAAACATTAAGAACTGGACTTTACTGGTTAAGCCAACTGTCTTCGGGTACAAGTATCTTTTGGTTTTCGTGGACATGTTTTCTGGATGGGTGGAAGCCTATCCCACCTGGACTGGGGTAGGACTTTCAAAGAGACTCTGAATGTTCCCAATACAAACAATATATGCCTGTGCTGAAAGATTTACCAATAACTTTCATCAGATCATTATACATTATATAAGCATATTGCAAAGTCACATTATTCTTTTGAAATGTGAGATATTACTATGTCAGCTAAAATACATATCAAAATAGTATTAAAACCAACAATATCAACAAAGAAAATAATTGCTACCAAGACTTACAGGGCAGTTAGACTCACCCAAGAACACCAGGCTGCTGTAGTTCTCCAGCATCACGTCCCTGTAGAGGGTCCTCTGAGCAGCATCCAGGTCCTGCCACTCATGCCAGGTGAAGTCCACGGCTACATCCTCAAAGGACACCAACCCCTGCAATGACACATTTATCTTCCACCCAAGTCCTCAGGCTTGAGGAAAGAAAACGAGAGCTCCCTTTTTTCTATTTATGTGTTTCTTAGCAGTGTCTTATTAAGCAGGTGCAGCTTGATCTGTATTCTGTACTATGGGAGAAAGAAAAATCAATACAAATACCTCACCTCTGTATTAATGTAGTGATTTACAAAAGTATGACCAATAAGTTTTATAAGGAATTATAACAGACAAAATATGGAGACTACATGTGTAAGGTCTACGTTAGTAACAGCAAGAAAAAGGTGTTAAACCAAGCTACATAAAAATATTAAATTTAAATCCCAGCAGAGGCAGGCAGGTCTCTGTGAGTTCAAGGCCAGCCTGGTCTACACAGTTCATAGTGCCATGCCAGCTGGGGCTACATGGAGACACTGTCTCAAAAACACACACTCCAAAAAAATTTAATTAAATCTTTGAAGAATGAACAACCTAATCAAAAGGTAAGCATTGGGGCTGAAGGCATGGCACTGTGGCTTGGTGCCGAGGTGAAATTAAGTTCAAATCCTAGTATCTATAAGTAGAATAGGTTTCATTCTTCAAATGTTGGTCACAATTAAATATAGACTGATACAAATGGAGGGGGACAAAAAGTTGGGGAACAGTAAAAGCTTTCTGAGCATGCAACCATCAAAGTTAATTTAGTATCAAATGTGAAATGGACACAATGCTTCCTGGGCAATTTCAATGCAGCATTTTTTGTGAGCACACTATGCACTTACTTCACACTCTGCACCCCAGAGTGCCAATGAGCTCTAAGTACAAAAGCTTCATTCAGGGCTAGGGAGGTGCCTCGGCAGTTAAGAGCACATACTACTCTTAGGCCCGGCATGGTGGTGTACACCTTTAATCTCAGTACTTGGAAGGCATAGGCAGGTTGATCCAAGCCAGCTGGGGCTACAATTTTTTTTTTTTAAAAAAAAAAAAAAAAAAAAAAAAAAAAAAAAAAAGAAAGGAAAAAAAAGAGGACATACTGCTCTTGCAGAGAAGCAGAGTTTGGTTCTCAGTACCCGCATCAGATGGCTCTCAGCAGTCTATGTACTCCAGCTCCAGGGGCTCCAATGCCCACCTTGGCCTTCTTGGGTACCTGCGCTCATGTACACATAGCCACATACATAAATGTAATTTTTTTACGTGTTATTTTTATTTTATGTGTATGAGTGTATTGCCTACATATATGTAAGTGCACCTGTGTTGTGCAATGCCCTCAGAGGTCAGAAGAGGGTGCTGGATCCCGTGGACTGGAGTTATGGATGATTGTGAGCCACCATGTGAGTGCTGGGAATCAAACCCGAGTCCTCTGCAACAGCAGCCAGTGCTCTTAACCACTAAGCCATCTCTCCAGCCACCATAAACGTAATTTTAAAAATGAAATCTTTTTTCTTGGTGTTTTATTTTTGTCTTTTTGAGACAGGGTCTCCCCGTAGCCCCAGCTGTCCTGGAACTCACCATATAGACCAGGCTGGCCTTGAACTCACAAAGATCTGCCTACCTCTACCTCCCAAGTGCTGGGATTAAAGGCATGTGCCACCACGCCCAGCAATTAAATCTTTTAAAAAATTTAAACATAGGGCTAGAAGAATGATACCTGACCTGTATGTGTAATTTCAGCACCCAGTAGGCTGAGGTACAGGTATTATTGAGAGTCTGAAGCCAGTCAGGGCTACAGAGTACCAGGCCAACCTAGACTATAGAATGAGCCTTTTCAAAAGCAAATAGGCGCCTGGTGTTGAGGCACATCCCTTTAATCCCAGCATTCAGGAGGCAGAGATGTGAGTTTTCAAGTCCAACCTGGTCTACACAGTGAATTCCAGGCCAGCCATGGGTACATAGTGAAACCCTGTCTCAAAACAAACAAGAAACTAAACTAATTTATAGAGAGTCTTTTTTTTTTTTTTTTTTTCTTTTTGATACAGGGTCTCCTTGTAGCCCCAGCTGTCCTGGAACTCACTACGTAGACCAGGCTGGCCTCGAACTCACAAAGATCCGCCTGCCTCTGCCTCCCAAGCACTGGGATTAAAGGTGTGCGCTACCACACCCAGCAATTTTAAAGTTAGACAACTGTAATATCTTTGAAATTTTACCTACAATATTTTGGCTACAGCAATTTAACACTTTTCTTTTAGTAGTTATTTAGTATTTTGCATTGTGTGTGCACATTGAGAAGTCCTAATTCATCATTCTGTTGTTGATTTCTATAGGAATTCTGTTTCTTTTTCCTACAGCCCTGTTTCTTTTTCATCCTAATTTATTTAACATTATAGAATACTAAATTTCAATGTTTTATATTTATTTTCATATTATATATTTTATTATTACATACTTTTCACATACTCTGAGTCATAATATTACCATTTCTTTTACTAATTGTAACACATCTAACAATTTCTTTTTTGAGACATGATCTCACTGTGTAAACCTGGCTGGCCTGCAACTCACCATGTAGACCAGTCTGCCTCTATGTCTGGCTTCAGCATGCTGGGAATAAAGGTGTGCATCACCTGGCCCAACGATCTTTTTAAAAAAAATTTTTTTAAAAACTGTTGTACTCACATTTGTCTCACATATCTTGGTCAGAGAATTAACTGCTAAATTTTTGTTGCTGTTTTGTTTTGTTTTGTTTTGAGACAGGGTCTCCCTGGTAACCCTGGCTGGCTCAAATTCAGAGATCAGTCTGCCTCTGCCTACTAAGTGCTAGGATTACAGGCATGTGCTACCATGTCTGGCCTGTTAAAAATTTTTGCAAATACTTGAGTATTATTTTGTGTTTCTAGTTCCAACTCAATTATTAATCTGCACTGCTTTGATTATTTTACCTATCATTACCTATCAAAAGGTATCATTAAAACCTTTTGTGTTGTTTTTCTCTGGGTGTTTTAAAGATTTACTATTTATCTTTGGAGGTATCAATTTGACTATCATCTACCTAAAGATGGCCTTACTTGTATTTTCTTCTTGGTTTAAAAAAAATTAGGCATTCTTCCAATTTGAGGGGCAGTTTCATTTATTTGAGCTAATTTCTACCAATTTCAACTTTTACGCCTGTCCTCTCCTTCTCTGTGACTGTTCCCAAGGTTCTATTTTGTTTTGTCATACTGTTGTCATTCCATCAAATAGCTAATTTCTGTGGCTCCGCCTTTGACATTCTTTGTTTCAAATCCCTAAAGTGGGGCTAGAAAGATGGCTCGGCAGTAAGGAGCACTGGCTGGTTGGTTCCCAGCCCCCACATGGCAGCAGGCCTCTGTGGGCTTTGCACACACGGGTGCACTTACATGCAGGTAAAATGTTCACACACATAAAAATAAATATCAAATCCCTAAAGGTCAAACTGAACCTTTCCATTTCATTATCTTTCTATCTGGTTCTTTTTAATCATTTTATTATCTGCTGAGGTTTCATATGCAATCCTTCATTATAATTATTTTCCTTTACTCCATTAACATTTATATTAGCTAATTCCAAATTCTTGTGGACTAATTTTTAACAATTTAGATATCTTAGAAATGATTTCTATTGCCTGGTTTTAATCTATTTTATAATCTTACTCTATTTGTGATGGTACAAGAAAATCTTTTTGAATGAGTCATCTACAAACAACTAAAGTACATTTCTCAGTTTTCTGGGGGTGGGTAATCCACGAACTCAATACCCATAGATTCATCATCTAGCAATGGCTAGTAATCTCCAGTGCCACAAAAAAGCAAAAATTGTAAAAAGAGCCTCACTGTCACTGCAGACCTCTCATAAAGCACTATTCCCACCCATGAGGGTTCTGCTTTGCCTGACAGATCATCTACTACCTGTTAATACCGGGGCACTGGGGATTATGTTGGAACAGAGATTTTGTAAGAGACACAGAAATGTAACCCATAGCATATTAGATTAGATTTTCCTGCTCCTATGTGTCTCATATATTTTAAAATTACATACTAAAAACTATAAAAAAGAGTTACAAATATCAGGCTGGAGAGATGGCTCAGCGGTTAAGAATACTGGCTGCTCTTCCAGAGGACCCAGCAATAAATCTCAGCATGTGGGAGGCAGAGGCAAGTGGATCTCTGTGAGTTCCAGGCTAACTGGGCTGCATAGGAGCTTCAAGGTCACATGCTTCTATTGTTTCTCTGATGCCCTGACAATCAAGAATATTGCTATGGGGGCATAGGGGTGGCAGCTGGAGAGATGGCTTGGCAGTTAAGAGCACTGGCTGTTCTTGCAGAGGACCCAGGTTCAGTTCCCAGCACCCACATGGTAGCTCACAACCATCCATAACTCCAGTTCCAGGGAATCCAAACCTCTCTGGCCTCCATGGACATTTCGTATGCACAGTACACATACACATACATACATGCAAGCAAACTACTCATACACATAAAATAAGAATACATTAGAAGATAAAGAGCTAAGACACCCAGCACATCGATTCCTTCTTTCCTATGAAATGCACCTGCTACTGAAAACACAGGATGTTGATTATTGTGTGGTGCTTAAATGAGAATGCCCCCCACAGGCTCCAAGTATTTGAACACTTGGTCCCCAGCTATTGGCACTGTTTGGAGCAGGTCATGGAACCATCAGAAGGTGTGGCCATGCTGGAGGAAGCATGTCACTGAGGGCAGGGTTAAGGGCATATGGCCGCAACCACTTTCAGTTTGTCCCTCTGTTTCTCGTGCCTGCTAGAAGATGTGTGCCCTCAGCTTCCTGCTCTGAGGACCTCTACTGCCATGCCTCCCCATCATAGTAACACACATAGTAAAAAGTAACTGTACTCTATAAGGATTGCTACTCTGGCCAGGTGTGGTGGCGCATGCCTTTAATCCCAGCACTTGGGAAACAGAGGCAGGCAGATCTCTGTGAGTTCAAGGCCAGCTTGTTCTACACAGTGAGTTCCAGGACAGCTGTGGCTACAGGGAGATCCTGTCTCAAAAAAAGACAGAAAGAATTGTTACTTTGCATCAAGCTCT